AAAAAAAAAAAAAGAGCATCATGTTGACATTTGCTAAATAAAAGATTGAACACCATGTTCGATACATAACATAAAAAAATAAAAGATATCAAGGAGAATAGATGATTTAGAATGGCCTTTCACTGGTTTTTCTCCAGTTTCTATCTCATCTGTATTTTTGCTTTTCGCTGACATTTAAGCTCAGATTAACTCTGCAGGCTGGGACTATAAATCTGATATCTGAGACGACCGTACTGCCGCTGAAGCTCCTCAGAAATGTTATTAGTACCCAGAACAGTAGTGAGAAGTTCGGTATCCGTTCTTTGCCTGTTTTGTGTGTTAACGGTCATGGTTGCTAGGCGACAGAGCGTACGGGCGGTGAAAGGCGCAGGAGGCTGGACCTGCTTGAATCCGCAGCCAAAACTCTTCCAGTCTCAGAGGATCCAGTGCAGGCAGACCGGGTCCTTGGAGGATGCAGCTGCTGAAATCAAACGCACCCAACATTGTGTGTTTAGTGCAGCGGAAAATCCAACTAAAAACATAATATTAATAAAAAATAAAAAACAAACACCCAATTTAAATAATTATTTAAATCATTCATCCCTGGTTTGGAAGCATGTAACTTTGTTTCCGATGTTCATGGTCAAATGGTCATAAATGCATAAATGACAGCAGCTAAAAGCAGATGTTTTGATATTTATATGGAAGAAAAAAGGAAGCACTTTAAAATCGAATCAGTGTCTCCAGAAACTGATGTTGATATGAAAATCAATGTTATATAAGATCCTGGGAATGCATAATAATGTATTTGCACTCTTATTTGAAAAAGTTGAAGGCATCCATGGCTGTATGCAGCGGTCTTTCTCCTGATATCATTTTAGAATACATAAACTCTCCATATTTGTGAATTTAAAGTATTTTTATTCTTACAGTATATTATATTGTGATGGCAGGCTGACAGATCCAGACATGGAATTTGCATTTTCATGCCTACTAATATTTAAGTTGAGCCACTTTCATCCTGTTTATTAAATAGTAAAAAACTGCTGCATGAGTTCTGGTGAACTTCCAATAATTTCCTCCTTGGATGTGAAGCAGCTCAGGTTAGTCTATTTGGCCAAACCTTAAAAGAATCCCTCAGACTGCTCTGCCTCTTCCTCCAAACAGTCTTTCAAGCACTTTATTTCCCACCACTTAACGAAGCTCTCTCCCTTAGTTGGCTCTTAAGCCCCGCCTCACAGCCGTCTCCATTTTTGTTTTGTTTTTTGGTCTCTGTAGACGAGCAGAGATGGACAGATGCTGACTTTAGAAATCAAATGATGTAGAGAAGACGCTTTCATTTCTGTCACCTGGAGCATAAAAATTATGAAATGTTTATTATGCATTTATTGGCGTTAAGGAAATCCTCATGCTTTGCCTTTTTACACTGGTTGTGCCACTGGTTGTGCTGGTTGTGCCACTGGTTGTGCTGGTTGTGCCACTGGTTGTGCTGGTTGTGATATTTCAGGTTCAAACAGCATCTCTTATGGAAATAAGCCATTGGTTGGTACCTTTGTAGGACGAGGTTATAATAGGATATTGTTGCCCTTTAGCTTTCTGCGCTGCGCTCAGATGCATTTAAATGTCACTGCTGTTTCCTGCCTTTTTAGAACTGTGCTGGAAATGGGAACCATGAATGCCAGTCTGGCTCCCATTACCTGCCGCCTTGGTTTGTATCTGTGGCTCTTTGTTTACACTAGACTTTCTAGATCACGCTCAGGGGACACAAGGAGCATATTTATAGCATTATATACACTAATTACTAGTTGATGACCCATAACAAATTTCATTGTAGCAATTAAGATGCACAGGTATTTTATTATTATAGATGACATTAAATCCTGCAGGGAGTTTTTGTTCCACATATAAAGCTAGAAACTCTTGATTCAGCTTCCTGTAAAAAACCCTGAAATCGACGGAGATATGCTCAGTTTTAAGCACAGGGCCTGATTGTTTTATTTTTATTTTTATTGGCTCTGAACTATAAATGCATGAAAAGGTTTCATAAACATCCCAAAATAATTATAAAAAAACAATCTGTCTTATAGTATTTGAGGTATTTGCAGGATGTTTATTTCTTTCATTCATGCTTTCAGATCTAGTTAATCTGCTGGAGATTTATGGAGACTATGGTTTCTAAAGGAAAACTGTAAATAATAGAAAACCGAGGGTTATATCTGACGACACTTTTAGGTTTATGAAGCAGCAGATGTGAAGAAGCTCTTTACTGGAGGGACTCCAGTTATTCTTACCGTTTTTTTCTGTTAGGCTCTTCATTTTACCAACTCTCCTTATTTGCTCAATGAGCTTCCAGAGAAGTCTCCATAAAAAACACTGAACTAATGTAAAATTTAATAATAAAGGAATGACAGTTGTAGATAATCCTGTCATCCTCTGGGTTAAAAAAAAAAAAATTTATATGGAGAGAAACTACTGAGAGGAAAAATACGGAATAGGATTAGGGCCACTGAAAAAAAAAAAGTTAACTGATTTTTAAATTTTATTTCAGTTTAATATGGGAAAAAAGTCAGAATTCTGACTTTTTTCCAATACTATACTGAAATAAAATAAAAAAAAATCTGTTAACTTTTATTTTTTCCAGTGGCCCTAATCGTCTTCCGTAGAAAAATAACCTGAAGCTTTAGTAAAATGTTGATGAAGATCAGAAAATTTAGATTTTTCTTATTTCACATTTTGATTTATGTTATTTACTCAATATGAACCTTTTCACTATTATAGTGAGCAGTTTCACCTGCAAGGTGTTTGTAGACCAGACATAACAAACCAGATCCTTTCTTAAGGTTTAATTAATAACATGTTACAGTTTAACCAGAGTGTCTGTAATGTGCTTGACTCTCTAACTTTCCATTATTGTCAGTAAGGAGGAACGAACGCTGCAGGATCAGAACAGGACTGATTACCATCCAATAACGCCGTATGATGAACTGTTCTCTCTTTGCAAAGATAAAATAACGTTTCGACTGAATGAAATTCATCGATCTCCGTTTATTTAACTGAGCTGAATAGTTAAATCCTTTTTTCCCACAACACAATAAAATCTCACACTTTGAAAAGCAATTCCAAAATTTGAAGTCTGATTTAAATACCTTAGAAAAACTGTCAATTTTTTAATAGAAATAAAACCTGTTAAAAAAAATAAAAATCCAAGTTCTTTAAATTCATTATTTAACAGCATGATGAAAAAGACCAGCGGCGACTTTAAGGTTTTAAGTCATTTCTTTCTTTTTCTTTAGCCGTTCGTTCCAACTGGAAGGAAAGTAGTGAACTTGGAGCGTCTTAAAATAATAACAGGACATGAAGAAAATGTGACAAAAGTCTGATTTTCTAAACTGTGAAAATCTGTAACATTGAAAGACAATAGAAATATTTTATGTGCATTTTATTTTTTTGCTGGTCTGTGCTGTATTTAACGACATTTAAAATCCTCAATTAGCCAAGCAGAGTAATTGATGCTCTGATGCTGAAATGTTCTCTGCAGACGGACTGACGGACTGCGTGGATCCAGACTGCTGCGAGCAGCTGAGCTGCGGCTCTGACCCCCTGTGCCACGGCTCGGCCGACCCCCTGGCCTTGTTGCAGCAGAACCCGCTGTCCCCCCCCACACCTGCAGGCACGCACACGCAGAGCTTCTACCGCCGCATACGCTTCCTTCTCGGCAAGGCGGCCACACACACTCTCCCAGGAGAGGTGCCCTTTGATACCAGGTATGCACTTGTTTACTCTCTGCGTGCGCTCGCTGCCGCAGCCTTTCAGGTGTTTGCTTTGCATGTCTCCGTCCTTGAATCGTCTTAGCAGGCATTAAGCTGAAAGGAATAAATTGTAGATAATGGAGCATTTGTGTTAATAAATGACAACGTCCATTTCCCCGTTATTTGTTTAATGAATGTGTGTTTGCATGTGAATCAGGCTTTTTCTTGTGCCGGCGTGCTTTGCATGCCTCCTGGTGATGTGTGTGACCTGGGAGACTAACAGCCGCCTGGCAGAGCACCGTCAGACTGCAGCTCCAGAGTTCCATTCATTCACACCAGTAACCGTGGTGTCACCAGTAGGATTTTCCTGTCCTCTCACTGCCAGCTAATGCTCGAAATGCATCTCTCTCTCGCATGATGATGACCCACAAAGTTTTGGGTGAAACACAGGAAGTGATGCGTCTGTGAATAATTGGCTCAGCCTCCACCAGGTTGTCCTGTAGAATAAACAAATACATTAATTATACAGACATTTCTCTACTTCTTTTTTTATTTCTTTCAATAGAGAAATCAACGGCAGCTTTCAGCAACGCAGCAGCAAACGGGGCGATGCAGAAACCTGCAGAAACCTCACCATCCTCCATCGGTTTATAGATGTTCCTTCATTAGAAGTTGTTGTGTTTGTGGATTAGAAGGATGGATGTTTAGAGACTCATTTCGCACCCTTGGCGCCTCGTACCCAGGTTTCATACCCAGCTGCTGCCATTTTATCCCTTCCTTCCCATTTCTTACTCCTTTATGTAAACCCTGTTGTTTTACGTTTATCGTCATCAGAAAAATGCTCTAAACAATGTGCTATTAAATAAATCATAACCTCTGAAATGTCTTTAAACGTTACATCTATAGTGATAGAGAAGTTAGAAAGCAGCAGCGCAGCCTGCAGGTAAGTCGCCTCTTTCGGCGGCCTAGAGGCGGGAGCAGAGTTAGCGCGGCGGACTAACTTTAAGCTGCTTTATAAACTCAGCTTTCTGTCGTCTGAATGAGGCTGGATATCGCTTTAGTTTGCATCACCTAACCGACACCGGCGCGGTAAAATAACTGACCTGCAGGTCTTGAACAGGCCATCAACATGTTTTTATCCTATCTGGACACGAACGTTTGTTTGCTCTGCTGTCTGTGACGCCATTTTAATGATGCGGTTCAGGCTTTATTAGCTCTTCAACTGTTCTCTGTTAACCATCCTCAGTTACTTCTACCAGTAACTGGATTTAAATATCAAGCTGTATTTATAGCCTGTATCCTGGCAATCTCTGTGGAAATGAAGAGAATTGTTGTGAGCAGAATAAAGGCAGCTGCTTCTTCTTCCAACACAAGGTCATTTGGCTCCAGCATGACAATGTGCCGCCTTTCTCAAACAATCATTATGTTCTCTGTCATGGTGAAGCTGTCATGTCTCCCTGTTTATCTCTATTTTTCTCCCCCCTCTCTTTCATCTCGCCGCCTTTGTTTTGACAGTCGTGTGGCTGTGATTCGAGGGAGCGTTGTGCTGCAGGACGGCTCGCCTCTAGTTGGAGTCAACATCACCTTCCCGCAGCATCCAGAGTACGGATTCACCATCAGCCGCAAGGATGGGAGGTAGTGAGGAGAAACACGCAGTGATGGAGTTTTCTGTCCCCCCCCCTCTGAGCTGACCGCGTCTCGTCCTGCTTTGATTCCAGCTTCGACTTGGTGACCTTCGGCGCCACGTCCGTCACCCTCATGTTCCAGCGCCCCCCCTTCCTCCCACAAACACGCATCATATGGACACCCAACAACAACTTCCTGGTTTTAGATCAGGTGACCATGGCCAGAGAGGAGCCCGGGGCCCCTAAATGTGACATCAGGAGTGTTTTAAGTCCCTATCCGCTGGTCCTGCCGTACCCCCTCCCCAGATACACAGGAGCCTGTACAGAGAAGGGCCCCGCTGTCCCCGAGCTGCAGGTACCCTAACGTATTGTTAAAGAGATACTTAAAACCAGAGTGTTATGGATCAGTATGTGCATTTAGTGAACAAAGAAATTAAATTAAGAATTAATAGGAATTAATTAGAAAACCTGCTATTGTTTAAAATCTATTTTAAGCCTCTATTGATCTGATTTTTGGGTAAATCTTTACACACAATCATTATGGAAAAAATAAGTTTATGGTTCCACCAGCGGAGATATTCACTTTGCAAAGCGGACAACAAAAAAACAGGAATTTAGATTTTAATTGAAATAGAAAATGAAAATACAGGTTTAAAAACACAGACTGTGCACATAAATAAAAGCCTTTAAATGGCAGAAGTGATGTTGACACATGTGAGCGTTTAATCCCGACTCTTTATTCATAAGCGAGGAATCTCCATCTAATGCAAGAAGAAAAAACATTTAAAGTTTTAACATGATTGGTTCCAATGAAGTAGAACAGAACAATTAATAATTAGACAGATTGGTTAGATAGATTGGTTCTCCTGCATCAACAGAAGGAAACATTTTCATCCCTTATATTCACTAAAATCCTCTATTTACACTAAACCTATATAAACTAAGAACTCCTCCTTAGGCTCCATCAGTCTAATCCAACATATATGGTAACAGAAACGCATTTAACAGAAAACATTTCTACATCTAACATCATTTGTTGCACAGTCCTACAAAAAGAAAAAAAGACGTAAACTAAAGCGTGAAGCTGTTTGGAGTCACAGCGTTGGGAATAAAGCTCTTATTTTCTGCGCTGAGCGTCTCTGTCTGTCAGAGCCGCCGCCGCCTCAGACCTCAGTGGGAGTCACTTTAACTCAAACTCTCATCAATCTTGTGTTGATTTTAAGTATGTAATGATTTATATGAATATTTTCATTAAGCAACTGATTATAATAACTAAAACAGCTTCCAGTAGTTCATCCATTCCTCCCAGAGCAGCAAATGAGATCATGAATCTGAGAAATATTCATTTTCAGAGGTTTGCTGATGAAGGAGCATAACACTGATCATAATGCAGCTTCAATGATTATCAAACTTTGCTGTGATTTTTTATTTTTATTTTTTATGGAGTTTGTTCATTGATATACTGTAGCTGGGCTTTCTGCCCCAGTTTTAGGCATGTTTTTAACAGGGTTACGATTCAGACACATCTAACAGCTTAATATTAGCCTCAAACTATTTTAAAAGCAGTTTTCATGAATGTTTGAGTTGTAGATCATCCTTTTTGGCCAAAATTTTACTAAAACTTTAAGTGAAAGAAAACCAGTGATGGTATTTTAGGATCAACCTGAGAGGTGCCACCTGATAATAAAGTGGAAGAACGTTAAATACAGATGTCACAGGACAAAAAGCTGCTCCAGAATCTAAAAGCTTTTACTGTCAGACGAGACAATAAAACCTCCCTTTGTTACTCAGCCTATTTATTACGGATAAACAGTTTTTAAACGTGGCTCTTTACAATTTCAATCACTTGCGTCACTTCCTTGATGAAAATATTCTCTAAAGTCAGTTTGATTCATCTTCTGAGTGAACATTCATTTGAACTTCACTGCTTCATTTAACATTTTCCTGAGAGGTTTCAAAAAATGAGGAAAACGCCACTGCTCAGGATGGGGGGGGGGGGATAAGACGGTCAACCATCTTTATGAAACTTGTGCACAAAGTGATGATCTATGGAGATCAGTCAAAACTGAAGCTGTTTGCTTCAGCTCAGCTTCTAACAAAGCCGCTCCCAAAAGGATTTAGCTAATTTAGCTCATTTCCTATTTGCATGAGACACATAGGAAATGAGCACAATACCACACACACACACACACACACACACACACACACACACACACACACACACACACACACCCACACACAAAGGCAAATCAGGTTCCTGAGAAGCAGATGTTGAGGTTAAACTTCATTTTCATTGATTAAAGTAAACAGAATAAATAACTTTACTCAGCTATCCTCTATATATCCTCTCTATATGCGTCCAAACGTGCTGCAACAATTTAAACAGAAACAAGTTAATGAATAGTTATCTTTATGCAGAAAATATTCTAGTTTAGATAGAATATTTAAATAAGTTGTATTCCATACATGTAATTAATGCTAAAACTAAATTATTTTAAAGAGAAATAAAATGAAATATTTCACCGTATTATGCAGCTGCAGCCTTGTGTTGCTGTTCAGCATCTTTCATTTCATAACAGTTTAGTTTACACTATAGTTATACTGTAGTTATTACTATAGTTAACAGTATAATTAACACTATAGTTAACAGTTTAGTTAACAGTATAATTATAGTTAACATTATAGTTAACAGTATAGTTAACTCAGCGCACCGCAGGTTTTTACTCTTTAGTGAAGTTTATTGGTGAATAAACTTATCAAAGGAATTCACGCGTCTTGGTGACATTTTAACCTGAAATATCAGAAGCTGAAGGACAGGAAACATGTTTTCATTAAACAGGAAATGTTACTATGATATAAAATTCTGAACTTATAGTAAACTAATGAAATGTGAAAGTTGCTGTGGTGTTCAAAGCAATATCTGGCAATATCTGAGAAATGTTGAACAGTAGAGAAGAGGATTATAATCTGAGCAGATGTGGCGTCTGCAGCAGAATTAGAAGCCTGAGGTTCAGCCAAGCAGAGCCATGGAATAGAAATGGGTCAGATAGAAGAAATAACAAGAACATTTAAAAGCATTTATAAATATTTAAAAATTATGCTTGTAAACAAAACATTTAAATATGATCATTTGCAATATTTTTGATATGTGCAACTAGATATTTCCTTATTTCTGTACACCTGCTTTTTAAATAAGATACCATATTTGCAAAGTCTAATTTTATCAAAAGCTTTATCTGTTATAAGACATAAATATTGTAATTGATGTTAGTTTGTTAGAAGTTCTTGAACTTCTACCTGCTCCTTTAAAAAGCTGCTAAAATGTCTTATTATCTCAATGAAAATCTTGTATCGTTGCTCAAAGAAATTGAAAAAGAAAAAGATGTTTCAGTTAATGATAATAATCAAGGTTTGTCTCTTTTATCTCTACATAAACACATAATGTGTTTTTGGATTTTCTCTCATTATTCCACTCAGATTATTCAGATTATTATTACTTTTAATTCAATCAGAGCCTCCAGCTGTTAGCTTTGCCTGACGGAGCAATTTCCTTTCTTTACCAAAACCTCATCTAGAATATTTTTTATAACTTTTTATCAGACCTTTTTTCCTACTTTAAAATGTAAGAATGAATTCAATCAACATTTTGCCTTTGATTTGTTCTGGCCGCCTTTTGAGGGTTGGTTGTAGTTTGGATGAAGATACGATGAAAACAAAACAGGAACATTTTATTCTAGTGATGGACCGAACCGGAGCAGAAAGAGGCAGCAGGAGGAAAAGCAGCCAGCGTTCCAGAATGTTCCCTGATAACCTGAATCAAAGGAAACTAATGATGCACATAATGAAAAGGAGGGTGGAAAAACTCCCCGTCATGAATTCGTTTTTTTTTAAACATCTTTTAATTGATCAAAATCCTAATTTTAAAGTAAACCATTATTATCTAAGTTTTAGTTCTTAGTTTATATTCCGTCTTGCACCTCCTGCTCCTCCTTAGCTTGCCAGTAGCTCTCCTTTCTTTAGTTCTTAGTTTATATTCCGTCTTGCACCTCCTGTTCCTCCTTAGCTTGCCAGTAGCTCTCCTTTCAGCTAATTCTTTCCAATAAAAGGTTTTGATGATCGTCTCTCTCTCTGTGCCGTATTCTCACTCTGTCTGCTCTCCATCTTTGGCTCTCAGGCGATTCAGGAGGAGGTTTCAATCCCAGGAGCCTTCGTGAAGCTGAGCTACCTCAGCACTCGCGCCGCTGGCTACTTCTCCCTGCTTCGAATCCTCCTCACCCCTCCGTCCCCGTCCTCTCCCGTCTCCCCTCTGGGAGGTCTGTCCAAGGTGCACGTCCGTGCTTCTGTCCAAGGACGGCTGTACCAGCGGTGGTACCCCGCGGGGCCGGGCCTGGTGCACAAGCTGGTCTGGAACAAGACGGATGTCTATGGCCAGGAGGTGTGGGGGCTCACTCATGCAACCGGTAGGTGGAATACGCAATGAAGGGACACCTGCTTTTTCCTCATGTAAGAAAAGAAAAACCACATGGGGTCTGTGGACCTTTTAAATATGCAATTGGCTTTGAAACTTCTCCACCTACTCAGTTTCCTTTTATCTTTGGGGAAAAAAGCAAACAGCAACTCAAAGAATATTCATATTTAAACATTGTTTCGTGGTTATTGTGCAAACTACCAACCTGTACATATAGAATAATATATGATATAGAAATATATTCAGAAAAACTCAACATTTAAGGATTTTTTTGAAGAAGAAATCATTAAAAAGAGCTTATTTTTTATTGTCAAAGACAAGTCTTACTAAAAACATGAAACAGAAATTTTAGCACATCAGTTTATTCAGTGTTTTTGTCTTTTATAATAAGCAATGAACCATTTTTAACACAATCTTTAAAATGAAAGATTTAACATAGATGCCATATAAGCCAGGTCTAAGCTGACATTCAGAGGTTGAGAAATGTTTTAAGTAATGAAGCTTAAAGGAATAGTACACCCAAAACATGATTAGCCTTCATTTTCTACTCCCCCCCATGCTGAACAACACTCTGGAGTACTTTTTTGATATCTCAAATGCATCTGGAGATCTGGGAGGCTTCTT